GCAGGGCTCAGTAGGGTGGCAGAGTAACCTGGTCATGCACCTGAGGTTAGTTGGCATTCTCAGATCTCATGTCAGTAGCCGGGATGCTGGTACCTCTGCTTCCATGAGGTGTGTATTCTGAAGAGCTTCTGCTTATGACTACAGACCTTACTAGGAGTGAGGAGACACAGCAGCAGTTACTAGGTGGTCACCACCAGGAAAGTGCTCAGGGGTTTGTGGTCTTTCTTGAAAAACAAAGCCATTTGGCTTCATTGTTTCTCATATGTTAGTACAAGGACTAGTTAAACACTAAGGACAAACTGTGTAGTTTAATTGTGCTGCTCAAAACAGATCCAGTGCTCTTAATGGTTAAGTAGAAATAATCAGATTTGACATAGGCATTCCAAACGATGGTAGTCTATGTCTTAGCATCTGTTTCACATGAAAATAAGAATATAAATATTTTAGGATATAGCAACCTTTGTAGTAAATAACAATGCAACATAGTATAAATGATGGAGGAGTAAAATATTCAAGAACTTTTAAAGATAAATACTTATAGGAATCAATGAAATAAATAACATTAATTGCTTTGAAATTAAAAAAATTCTTGATTTGTATGAAGCCTGCACTTGTAGTTAAGATACATAACCAGTTGTAAGAATGCATGTGCCAAAAGACAGAAGAAAATATTCTAGGTTGAATATAAGAAAAAAAGCATTTTTCTTGTATTAAGTCTTACTGTGTGTTTTTAAAAGACTAAATCCTTTCCCTCTATCAATAAAGGTGAACAGAAGGAGAGACCATTTAAAAAAAATGTTTTTGAAACAACCTAGCCTTTTGCCAATAAGGATACAAGCTGACTACACTGAGAAAAGAAAAACGGTCTTGTCTTACTGAGCTTAGTTTAACAACACATGTAGATCATTCCCTGTACACAGAAGAAAGAAAATGTAAACAGTGGAAAATAAATGCAGAAGAAATATGAGCACACAATGTTTTCCATCAGTGTTCTAGATTCTCTCCCAAGACTCACACTTCTCAGAACCTAATAAAGGCAAGCACACAGGAGCAGTTCCGGCAAAGCACCTGGTGGATCACAGCACAGGATGAAATGTAATAAAAGAGTATCACTTATGCTTTAACTTTTAAGATACCCGTCTTTGTAACAGCCTCACAAGTACCTGTTAAAGCAACTTCAGAGAGTCTACTAGGAAGTCCAGCAGGGTTCTCTTAGTGCCTCATAAAGTGCCTTAAGGCAGTTTAACTACAAAGCAGGCACATAGCCACCAAGTGTTGATTAAGGAGACAGAGTAAAGCAGAAGCAATGAGATTTACAGATAATCCCCAAATCTCTGATGTATGATCTATACCTGTAGCAATAAAAACTTAACAGGTAGGAAGAAGTAAAAGCTTTCTCGTACCAGCGTGATGACTAACAACCTAATCAACCTTGTCAAGGAGGAAGAGAAAAAGGTGAGGATACCGGCTGAATCCAGCTGGATGGGTTTACAGGTGATTCTCTTCTCAGAAAGTGACAATTTATACCCAAACAGAGAACCATCTAGCTTAAAAAATGAGTTGGAAAAATTACTTAATGGAATGATTAATTAAAATAAATCAATAGACACCATTTACCACCACATATGAGATTAGAACTGTTTTAGTGGGAAGATAGAGGGAAACAAGTGAATGGTGAAATGATGCCCAAGAAGCTGTGTTTACGGCTTCAGCTGAGGAACAAAGTGGCCTCAGTTGAGACGAACGGGGATTCACACCTGACCCTGTACCGATGTTCACTCTTTTGGAACTTTAAGAGCTCTTTTGGAGACTGATGAGTTGGATTTTTTTCTTTTTTGGCTGCACTGCGTGGCATTCGGGATCTTAGCTCCATGACCAGGGATTGAATCCATGCCCCTGCAGTGGAAGTCCTAACCACTGGACCTCCAGGGAATTCCCTGACGAGTTGCATTTTTAAAGAAAAATTTTGCATCTGTCACAAACAACATGTAACCAGCTTGACGCTGCGTGTCTTTCCTTAGCCCAAGATGCTGTACATGAATTTTTAGAAAACATATCCTAACCTCAGTGTAGAAAGACAAAATCTAACAAGAATGTCCCGAAGCAGGGAACCCAGTACCCCAGGGGTGTACGTGAGCGTGTGCAGTGCTCACTCCATCCTGCAGAGAGAGGCCTGATCTACAATCCTGGCCCCTCAGTCAGAGGGCGCCAGTGCCAGAGGGGCACTGGCCCTGTATTAGACTCTTCTACATCTGGGACCCTCCAAGCTCTCAGAACAGAGAAACCGGCTCCCCGCCGCGCCCCCCCCCCCCCCCCCCCCAGCGCCACGTCCCGAGGAAGTATTTAGGAGATTCCAGGCTCTGGAGGACAACAGAGTTGGCTGCAGCACATCTACGCTGGTCTATCTGAATCACATCAATACAGCCTTGGCCCAAGCAGTAAAGGCTCTGCACTTGGACTGTGCTGGTCAGTCCATCTGAACTTGGGTCCAGCACCCACCGGCAATATTCTGGACCCAGAGCTGCTTCTTCCAAGGGGGAATTCTCATTAGGATGAACTTCCTTTGAGCGGATTCGCTGGAGTGCCGGCAACTTTGTTATTTCCTGAGATGTTGCTATTGTTGTTACAACATACTGCATCCATTAGGCAGTCTTGTTCATTTCAGGGCCACAGCAGGGGGGAAGAAAAGGTAACATTCAAGCGGGGCTGCAGCTTATTTCCTTCAGATTATTGACATGTTTTTAATTTTTCATTTTCTCTCTTTTTATATTCCTCCTCTTTATCTCTCTTCGCATAAAGTACTGGAGGTCAGGGGCATTTTATTACTCCATCCAAGGGGTATTTATTGAGCACATGCCCTGTCATAGCTTCACACACGGTGACGTGATGCGTAACCAGAAGGCAGCAGACCCGAGTGTGTGTGGGTGAAGCGTGAAGTAAGGCACGCGTGCCACGCACGAACACACGGTGTGTTCGTGGTGATTTCTGCCAAATGTCCAATGACCACAGAGAAGCCAGAAATCTCTGTGTGATTCTCTGAGTCAATAGCGCAGCTCAGTGGTTCCATGTATATTCCATGTATACCTGCCGACAGGGGAGTGATCTTTGACAGCCTCAGTCCCAAGCATGCAGAACAGATTTTAACATCGTGACATTTAAAACGTTTGGTTGTAGTCTTTTTGGTTCGTGTTTGGCCCGAGGGGCGGCAGCTAGACCACCTGGGTTCTGCCTGTGCTCTCTGCTTTGGTGACCTTGGAAGAAGTGCAGCATCACCGCCAGCCCAAGGTGGCCCCTCACGCAGCGCCGCCATGGAGGCTGTGCTGAAGCAAACACCTCAACACGACTTGCAAATGTCCCCTCTGGAGGATGAAACCGAGACAGGTGACCTGATTCTCAGGTAGCTGCAGAGTCCCTGCCAAAGAGGGTCTCTGCCCTTAGGACTTGGAGATAGGTTCCTCTTTTTTTTTTTATTTATTTTTTTAACATTAACTGTAAATTGATAGGTTCCTCTTTGAGATAGTCTGTAAATGGATAGCTCCCAAGACAAGGAAGACTTCAAATGTCCCCAAAGAGACTAAAACAGCTTATAATGGCTATCATTTATTTTGTTGAACTTTCTTTGAGTAGTTTCCACACAGAAGGAGGGTGGGGTTTGCGTGGAGTCTACACAAAGGAGGACCAGAGAATCAGGGCTATTCAGCCTGCCTCTTCCAGGGTCTAATGCCCAGAACCTCTCTTTGGGCACAAATCTCTCTAAAATGGAGAAGAGCAACTCTTCAAGCTATTAAAACTTTCTGGAAATACCACCCAGGAATAGCCCATGCCTTCTGCTCTCTATCTGCCACGTAAGAGAAGGGTCTCTAGCACCACCCCCTGTGTAGGCTTCCCTACCCTGGAGGAGTGGGTACATCTGACCATGCCCGCCTCCCATCATAAACGAATGCGTTTATGTTTCGGTTCATACGCGTTTTAAGTGTTAACTGAGATAATGCAAAAATGGATGACCCAGAGACTCATCACCTCAAGAGAACTCTCAAAACTGATTTCAGGACATGAAGAAATGTATCATTAGTATATCAGTACCGAGCTAAAGGAACAACCCCTGCCCAGGGCTGGCCAGGGGTTGCCTGTGTTTCCGCATTACTAGAACGGGTGTCAATGACAAGAAAAGCCTTGTGTCCCTTGTGGAGAGGAATTCCAGGTGTCTGGGACTCCCTGCTGGTTCTGCCTCTGTCCCCCGTCACCCCACCTGTGCTGGGACCCGCCTGTTCTGTCCTCCAGGGCTCTGCTCCCAAACCCAGACCTTCCCTGGCACTCAGGAACCCAGATTAAAATGTTCTCTTTCAGCTCCTTTTCCCTCTGGGTCTAGTTTTCTGCTATTCAGCCTGATACAGCATTTATTTCCTTCTAAGGCACGAAAGAATGACCATACAGTGTAGCTGATCTGGTGAAGTGTCCAGGAGGATTACCTTCTTCCTAAAGGAAGGGAGACTATTCGTTTGGATCAGATCACCTGAGTAGACCTCAGCTCTGAATGAGCGGGAGATGTTGCACAGAGAGTGTTCTTACCTCCTGGACACAGTGTTCATTTTGTCCCTCACTCCTACCCCCTCCCCATACCATACTGTTTCTCACTGTAAAAGAAGGACCCTGGTGAAGGGGAGTATATCTTATCCTGCTTCATGGGATTTGAATACTTGGGTAAGACTTCTGTCCGGGAAAACAGTAGCAAGGAACAACCAAAGACCATAATTATTATGTTTACCCCAAACATCCCATGCTCTGCAGATTGTAAAAAGCAGTGAGTGAGTTAGGGAAAGACACTTATGCTCCCAAGGGGGGAAAAAAATCAACAAAACAGCAACCTTTGCAGGCAATCTTGTGAAAGGTCCCTTTTAACCACCTCGTATTTGTTGATTTTGCTCACACGATACGCAGTTAAAACATCTGTTAGGCATCAGATTTATCAACAAACATGAAGCAGAACAGAAATCACAAACCTGCTTGATGCTTCCCCTTGTTCTTTCCTCCAGGTGCGTGCAGACAGAAGAAAAATGACGATAAATGGTGAATACATTTTATAGCGCTTGATAATGACCAAATTGGAGACTGGGGAATGAAGTACCTTAATTAATCCTTTCTGAGCAAGAGCCATACAAGCAAGACACTTTATCATGAACGTACCCAACTTTCTGACATATAGCCTTGGTGGTACAGACCCGAGACAGCACAGCACCAATACTGCCCGCATGTGACCCAAAACTATAGACTCTTCACCAGCCTAAGTTATCCATGGTTTAGGCAAAGTGGTTCTGGTCTAACCGGCATCAGCAGAGACCGTTAGAAGGGCGGTGCGGGTTGTGCTGAAGCTGGAGTCCCTGTGGTTCAGGTAGACTCAATCTGGGTTAGTTCATCTGTGACCGTGGTCTTGTGTCTCCGTCACTTGTTGGGGCAGATTTTGTTTTTGTGCTGTACAAAGTATGAATGCCCTTGCAGGACATCAGGCACACAGACAACCTAGCTCAGTGTTGGGTGGTCTGTCTAATAAGCCACTTGGGCACGTTCGGGTCTACGCAACATGGCATGGGGTCCCCGCTCTTGGCAAATGCGCTGTGTCCTTGGGCGGGAGTCTTGCTTTCTTGTGGGTCTCGGTGCTCTTATGAATAAACTGAAGGCGCTGGAGTTGGTAATCTCTGAATTCTAACCCTAAGGTACCACGTGGCACCCTAGGAGCCTGACGACTCCCTGAAGCTTCACAGACGATCTGACTCATTTCCCAGAATAGCACATTTACCTGTGCTTCACCCCTGCATAGCCTTCACTCCCTTTGATATGAAAATCAAGAAGTGAGTTCCTTCTCTAAATCCTTCTGTTGTTAAAACAAAACTTGGAAATAGCAACTGCTAAGACCTCCAAAGTGCACGTGAGAGACGAACTGGACCAGAAAGGAGAGTGTCCAGCAGGTCTGAGCAGCATGGCCTCTCGCACCCCGCACGGCTGTCACACCACCCTATTCCCTGGGATGAGCACGTGCAGTCAGTGCACCCCACTGTATCTCTAAACTGGGGGGACGAGAGCACGGGTGGGTGTTTTTACTGATAATGTCAATGATGCTGCTGCTGCTTTTGGTAATACAATCTCTTCCCTGACCAGCTGTTTAAAATTGCAGCCCCGAACGCTCCCCCAATTCCTTCCCTACTTTACTTTTCTCTTTAGCACTTACCATCATCTATTCTATTATATATTTTGCTTATTTATTTTTACTGTCTCTTCCTATTATCTCTTGAATATACGCTCCCCGAGGCCCGGGACTCTGTTGGTTTTTCTCCTCCACTGCTGCATTCCCTGTGCCTGGAACAGTGCTGTGCACACAGTCGGTGCTGTAGGGGAGCAGAATGTGGCACCCCAAAAATCTGGCACCCCAAAGTGTGTCTCTTTGGCATGAGAATAAATTCAGGCTAATTATTTTTAAGAGACAGAAGTCTCAGGAAGTTTTTCTTATCTCTCCCTTAACTGCCTAAAAGAATTGAGATGAAGTGCCTGTTGCCCCTGAATAGAGCTGTCACCAGAGAGGTCTGTAAAGAATACGGGCCAGGCGTGGTAGGGACTCAGCAGGGCCTGGAGGTGAGAGTGTCTCCATCGGAGGGACTCCGTCCCTTGTCTCTTCTGGCCCAGGAAACACCAGCTTCCTCATCCCCGTGTGAACTGCCCTTTTCCCCTCTGAGTCCCAAACTAGCACCCGCAACATCCTCCTTTGTCTTTAGCTGAAGATGGTGTTTAACGGGAGGGTTTTGCCCATTTGGGGGAATTGCTCAGTTTTCCTGGGATTCTCCCGTGTATACCTGTTATCAAACTCTTGTTTGATTTTCTCCTGTTCATCTGTCTCATGTCAATTTAATTCTTAGACCAGAGAGAAGAACCCAGAAGGGCAGAGGGAAAATTTTCGTCTCTGACTGTTCTCAATGAGCGCTGACTGCACGAACGCACGGATGAGTGAACGATCTTTCCCTTCAGAAGTTCTTCAACCCCGAACGTTATAGGAAATACACGATGTAAGGAAGAAGTTTTGGTCTATTTCTTACTGTATCACCCTGCACTCGCTAAGCCAGTTAGTTATAAATGTAAAACGAACCCTCTAAGTCACTGTAAATTATTCTCCTCACAAACCTACACATTTGATTAAAGCGGGATTGCTTCCAGAGCAAAGGTTCTGAACTTGGCTTCAGGGAGTTTGTGAATACATTAAAATTTGTAGGCAGAGTTTTGATTTTTTATGCGTTGAATATTTTTCTTGGGAAAGAGTCCATAATTACCACCATGTTCTTAATGGTTTAACAAAGAACAACGAAGATTAAGAATCACTGCGGTTTGGAACAGCAAACTATGGCTGAAGGGAGAGGTGCAGGGACACTGCTTGTCACGCCTGGGCAAACAGCCGTGTTCCTCAGTAAACAAGGCCGAGACCCAGAGGCTAAGCAGGGCGCAGGGAGAGGCCTGGTAGCTACAGAGGGACAGGATGGAGGCAGGTGTCCGCATACACGTTCCTCCACCCCCGTCCCCAGTAGAAACAGGGAAAACAACAGAGAAAAGAGAGAATTACGGGAGTAAAATAATAGTTTATGCACTGGGAGAATCTGACTCATTATTGAATAGTTTTTCCAGGCTGCAGGATGACTTTTAATCCAAAAACTGCAGGAAGTGGGAAGCCAAATAATCACATATAATAAAATAATAGCCCACGCTCTCCTGTCACTTGGGAACTTTCTTTGTTTGTTTTTTTTTTCCCACTAGCCTTTTTACACATTACCTAGCAACCTTCATAAAGACGAGACGTACAATTTCCATACAGTTCCCGTTTTTGATTCATACCCTCAAGGAACAGATGGCACACGAGTTATATTCCCTTTTTGTTTTAAAATACTACACCTTAGAGTCTAATTCTCAAAAAGGGAATTTCCCTACATTATAAGCTCTAAATGAAAGCGACTTCTCATCCACATGTAACTAGGCCGCACCCGCTCTAACACCCTGGGGTCAATGAATCTCTGTCGTAGGTGCTGGCGCAGGTTTGACCCTGACCTCTAGGAGGTGTGTCCCACAGGGTCAGAACTGACCTTGGCCAGCTCTGGTCCTTCGCCTTGTGGATGGGAAGCCAAGGCCCAGGGCTGGGCAGGGAAGGAAAATGACAGATCCCGTGAGTTCACGATGGCCCCGCAGGCCTCCTTGGAGGTGGCGGCTCCGGAGAACCGGCCGTGAGGGCCTCTCCGGCTGGTTCTCTTGCACTTTGGTAAGAAGAGGTTTCTCTGAGTCACACTAGTCAGCTGCCTGCAATCCCGTGAAGCCACTGGGACTAAGGCCTTGATGGGCTCTTAAAGGAAACAGCAGGTGCTCAAACGCACGAAGTCAGCTGAGCCGTCTGAGAACTCTGCACAACCCGGGGGACCGACTACTAGTCCAGAGGATGACTCACGGGGGGCCGCCCCTGGCTTACTTGCTTTTCGTGTTTTACTGAGGATTTCTTTCATTAAATGGTGATTACGGTTTAGTCTGCGAGCTGAACTGGAGTCCAGGCTTCTGGGACTAAGGACTGTTTGGGAATTAAAGATGCTGCGGCAATCATCAGGCCTGTGCACGACCTTTCCAGCCCCCTCCCCTCTAGGCACAGGGGGGCTGCACCTCCCTCCCGGTCCCCCCAACTCCCCCCGAGCTGAAGCACGGCTGGGTGACCTGCTTCGGCCAATGAAACGTGAATGGAAGTAACATCTCTTTAACATTTTGAATGTTAATTCCAAGCTGTACTCTGAGTGGTCCTGTCACCTCACTGTACTGCACCCCTTCTCTCCTTTCGCTGCTGATGTTGGTTTGATCTGCAAGTGAAAGCTAAAGGCCCATCCTGTAAGGGGATGCCGAGGAGAAATGACCTTGAGGGACTTAAATGTGCAGACGTGATGCTCCCCAAGCAGCCCCGCCTGGGGTCAGGGGATGGCGGGGAGTTTTAAACAGTCATTGTTTTTCAAGAACCAAGGCACTTACCTGAGGAATTCTGGTGGGCTTTATGAAATGACATATTAGAAAATAAGCATGAAATAGTAAAAATAAATCTCTATAGAGTTCAGATTCTTTTCATATTTAAGCCCAGTCTGTGGATGGTGAGGAATGATACAGAATCCATTTAGTTTTGCACCTGAGCTCTTACCAAACAGCTTTGAATCTTTCAAAGAGCAACAGAGAATAAGACAAGCCCCGAATCGACACCTGTGCATGCGTGTGTGTGTGTGTGTGTGTGCATGTGTGGTTTGCTTTACAAACTTAAGGAAACGCGACTACAGCCCCGACTGTCACACTGACACCTACTTGGTGGGGCTGCAGGTGTGCAAGGCCTTCAGGTGCGGCTTCCAGGTTGCAATGGAGACAGATTTCTCGTCGGCTGCATAACTACGCCAAACGCACTGCACGCGGCATACGCAGGGACATAAGAAAGAAAAACAAAAGAGAGGAGGAGAGAGAATGCAATGAAAAGGGAGATTAGTAAATTAATACAGATTAAGCATCTTTTCCTTGCCATGTTCAGCCCTGATAAATGTCCGAAGGGTGAAGAGGCTTGGGTGTTTTCGCCTGGCTGTGAAATATGCTCCACCACATCCACAGAACTGCTTTTCAAAATAACTCACATCAGAAGCAGAAGTACCACAAAGCATAACACAGAGGAGTTTTGGGATTGGTTAGGGAAAGACGTGGGAGGTGAGCTACCCGAGTGGGACTGACTGTGCATCCCGGGAGCCACTGTGTGCCCTTAATCACCACTTGTAAGATAGAGGCAAAGGACCCTGGAAATCCATGAGGCGACTAGTAAATTAGCTAGTAAACTGATGACCACCAGGGCATGTTAATGATGTAGTGAAATCCCCTGCGGTACTTCTGTGGTACTTCTAAGGCTAACCATGAAGGTGGAGATAAGAGGCAGGCCTAAAACAGGGTGGGGAAACGTATTCTCAGGAATACGATTGGAAAGCACGTAAGAATTTAATGCTGGGGTCTAAGAACACGTTTGTAGCTCTTTGATGCGAAACACAAGCTCTGTGTACTTCATATAATTATACCTGATATATATATATAACACAAAGTGTTTTCATGTAATCCCCACAGTGTGGATTAAGGCCCTTATGACCCTTATTGTGTAGAAGAGAAACTAAAGGCTCAGATACATTAAGAGGTTAACACAAGGCTGGCAGAGGTGAGACACCACCTCAGGTTGCCTGGCTCTTGGTCTTAGAATCCCTCCACGGTCCTTTGCTGAGTGACCATTGTTGGAACAGCTTCCCTCTGAACTGTCCATTTCAGAGGTTGCCTGAACTTACTTTCCATTGAGATTTTGGTGAATCTCTTCCTTTGCAATAGGTCCGCAAACATCTCTAGGGACCAAGTGTTTATGCCACTCTCCTGAGAGGAACATTTTTATTATAATTCATAAATCAAAACATTCTATTTTGTGTGACTATTTCATATAAACAGGTCATGCCCCTGCTGTCTTACTATCATTCATGATTTTGAAATCTACAATGAAGAAAACAGTGACCTAATAATATTCCTTTTCCTGACAATATCATTGAATATGCGTGTGCAGAAAAAAGAGTTAAAAATTGACATAATTAATTTGGAAAACTTTGGCTGTATCTATTAAAGCTGAAGTATATATACCCTATGATACAGCTACACACTCCTGCATGTATACTCAACAAATATGCTTACACAAGCTCATCAAAAGATGTGTACTATAATGTTCAAAACAGCACTACTCTGTTTTTAAAATCTTAACATGAATTTTCTTACTTGTTTACTTATTGAAGTACAGTTGGTGTACAATATAAGTTACAGGTATACAATAAAGTGATTCACAATTTTTAAAGGTTATACTCCATTTACAGTTATATTGGCTATAATCCCCATGTTGTACAATATATTTTTGTAGCTTATTTATTTTATACATAATAGTTTGCACCTCTTAATCCCTGACCCCTACCTTGCCCCTCCCTCTTCCCTCTCTCCACTGGTAACCACTAAGTTGTTCTCTCCATCTGTGAGTCTAAACAGCACTACCCCTTTTTTTTTTTTTTTAATATTGGAGTCTAGTTGATTTACAATGTTGTGTTTGTTTCAGGTGTACAGCAAAGTGATTCCGTTCTACATATACACATATCTATTCTTTTTCAGACTCTTTTCCCGCATAGGCCATTACAGAGTATTGAGTAGAGTTCCCTGTGCTCTACAGTAGGTCCTTGTTGGTTATTTTATATATAGTAGTGTGTACATGTTAATACCAAACTCCTAATTTATCCCTCCCCTGTACCTTTCCCCTTTGGTAACCATAGGTTTGTTTTCTGTGTCTAAACAGCAGTACTCCTAATAAACCAAAGTTGGAAATGCTCGAGCAGCCGTCCGCAGGCCCATACATGGGTGAGCTGTGGACTGCTAGCACAGTGGATCAGCACACAGGCACGATGCACTGTAACTACACCCAACAGTGTGGACGACCTTTACACGGATACTGCTGCGTGAGAGGGACAAGACACAAAAGAGTGCCTGTGGTGTGACTCCACTTCCACAAAGGACAAAAGCAGGGAAACCAATCCCCGCAGTCAGAAGGCAGCAGGGCGGCTCCCCCAGGGGCAGAGGTGGAGTGAGGGTGCATGGGGTGCTGACCACCATCTGCTTCTTTCTCCGGCTGCTGGCGACAACGGGTCACCAGCCGGAGTTTTCTAGGGTCTGCGCTGCATTCCCTACGCACCTTATACTTCAATAAGGTGTTCAAGAAGTGATATAAAAAACTAGGAGGATATATGGTAGGACCTGAGGGTTTTTATATTATTAAGGAAGGTTTAACTAATTGAAGCCAGCCTCCTTGCCTGGAGCCTTCATCACACGGCTCACGTTGGCTGAACCTACAAATCCCTCAGAACGTACGCTAAGCATCTTGGCATCTTACAGAGAGCAAAGCGGTTGTCATCGTATCATCCTGAAATGTTAGTTTTGGCAAGTGCTGTGCACTCGCAATCTACAGAGTGATTCAGAGTAATCAATAAAGACACATGGGTTTATTATCGCAGCTTCTTCTGTAGTGAAGGCCAGAGCCCCGCCAGTGCTGCTTTAATTAAACAACTTTAATAGAAGGCATCAGATGTATGTGGACTTGGATACTGTGGAAGCAGGACTCACGTAGAAGTGAGAAGCACACAGCAGGCCTGGGCGTTATTAGATATCAGTGGAAAAAAATCCCAAACAACAATACGACAAAAAATGGGACCAAGACATTACCTGCCAAAGTTATAAAGAACGGGGGGCAGAAGTGGCCACGCTTAGAAAATTGAAAATTTTCTTAACCATGAGATCTGGCTTCGTGCTCTTTTTCTATCACATTGATCTCAACAGCTAAGCTCTTATTCCCTTCATTAGGAGCAGAGGGCAAGTGGCATCTCCCTCGGGGCTGATACCAGTCCGCAGTCGAGTGGCAGTGGAGCAGGTACCTATTATTCTCACCCTCTAATCACTCTGTCCTGGCCTCAGCTCTCCCTCAGCTTCTGGAAGCTGAACCCAAGGCCACAACCATGTGATCGAGGAGCCGACGTTCCTCTACTTGAAGCTAAAATCACACAGTGGTTGGCAAGAGAAAGTGCCCAGAGGGATTTAATTTACATGGTACACACACTCCCAAGGAAAAGTCACCAAAAAGCAACAGGAAAGCCGAATTCACCATTTACTCTGCGACCCTGGTGCTCAAGGTAGCCGAACAAGTTCACACTTTGGTCTAGAGCTATAAGCGCAATGTCAGTATAGTTACGTTTCAGGGAGTATTTAGTCTGCATTGTCTGGAGCATTACAGCTATGGCGCACTTGACCCTTTCTGGAAACCTTAATTCCAGCTGAGCATCCAAAGGTATCATCAACATGGAATGATTTCTTTCAAGGTATAGAATTTAAGAAGCCAGAGAATGAAAAGGTTTAGGGTGAAAACCAGTAATATCGCTTTCCCCACTTTACTTCTCACTCATTTTTGTTCCTCAGTGGCAACCCCTTCAACTTTTATAGCTTCTGTTTCTAATTTTAAGAATCCTTATTTTTAAGGATTGTTCTCATATTTCTTTGGGGTTTTTCATTTTCTTACCATGGAAGATAGTGACATAGCCATGTACACACCTTCCCCTGATCTCATCCTACCAACAGTTTTTAGTTAATTTTAGTTAACTTTTAGTTAGTGAACACTACTTAGTGTTTGCATTACTTTGACCCCGTAACTACTGTTCCCAGCTCAGCAATGTGATGTGTACCATTGACTACATTTTTCTTTCCCGTGTAATTTATTTTGGTTTTTCTTGGAGCTGGTATTGCCCTATTTTAATGTCTTGATTTGCCTTTATGTACCTAGGAGGAAAACATTCCTGAACTCTCCAACAGAACTCTAAAATCCCATTTGTCAGATACATCACGAAAGGTGTGTCTCCTTGCCGCCCTCCCTCCGGCTCTCTGCTCTCCGGCCCTGGAACTGCCCCTCAGCAACAGCCTGGAGGTCCCCTCACTCCTCCCTGGGTGGGATCTCTTGCTCCCGGGACACCACGTCTCCTTCCTTTCTGGGTTCATCTCCTTGTTTTGGAGGATTAATTCTACCCAAGTAGCTTCTCCTGTTTTTCTTTTTCTTTTTTTTTCCATTTCAGCTTTATTGAGGTATAACTGACCTATATACAGTTGTGAGATCTTCTAAGCTTACATCATGGTGATTTAATATATGTACACATTATGAAAGGCTTCCCCCCATCTAGGTAATTAACACATCCATCACCTCAGGTATTTATTTGCTTGTTTGTTTTTTGGTGTGAGAACATTTTGCTTGCTTGTTTTGGGTTTTTTTTTTGAAATGCATTGTTAAAGACTTTTTATTTTATTTTATGTTGGAGTATAGTTGATTAACAATGTTGTGATGGTGTCAGGTGTACAGCAAAGTGATTCAGTTCTACATATACATGTATCTATTCTTGGTGTGAGCACATTTAAGTTCTACAGTCTTAGCAGATTTCAATTATACAACACTGTTATCAACTATAGTCACCACGTTTCACATTACAGCCTCAGGGCATATTCATCTCATAGTGAAAGTTTGTACCCTTTTACCCTATTTCCCCCACCTTCCAGCTCCTGGCAACCAGTTTTTGCTTCTGTTTCTAGGAGGATGACTTAAAAAATTTTTTTAGATTCTACATTAAGTGAGACCATGCAATAGTCGTCTGTCTCTGTCTGGTTCTCTCACTCTGCATAATAACAAGGTCCATCCGTGTGTTGCAAATAGCAACTTTTTCTTTCTCATGGTTGAATAATATTCCACTGTGTATATATACTGCAAAGGGAAACAGTATGGAGGCGCCTCAGAAAATTACAAATAGAACAGCCATATAATCCAGCAGTCCCACTTCTGGGTATATATCCAAAGGAAATGAAAACAAGATATCTGCACCCCCATGACCACTGCAGCATGATTCACAACAGCCAAGATACGGAAGCAACCCAAGTGCCCATCGGTAGACGCATTGATAAAGAAGATGTGATATTAGCTTCCTGAGTATGGGGAAATGGTAGGTAAAGTTTTGAGGTTTTGCACATCTGAAAGAGTCTTCATGTTACTCCCATACGCCATGAATAATTTGGCTGAATGTAGAATTCTAGATTGGAGATAATTTTCCTCCATAATTTTGAAAGTATTGTTCCACTGTCTTCTTCTAATTTTAAGGTTACTAATGAGAAATCCATGCAATCCAGATTCTGGACCCTTTGGGTATGTTCTGCTCAGAAAGCATTTAGGATCCCCTTTCTTGCAGGAGTTCTCATATTTCACAAGGGCATCCTCAGTGTGAAGCTTTTTGTTCACAGTGCTGGGTCCTTGGGGGGCCTTTTACTGTGGCCCCTCCTGCCCTTCATTTTTGGGGAACCAGAATATAATATTTATTTGATAAAATTCCACACTTAGTTTCCCTGTATTCTTTTTGAGGTACTTCTGTGGGCTGAATATTTGATCTCCTGGAAGTGTCATCCAATTTTCCTACTGTTTTTTGTTTTATTTTCCATCTCTGTCTTTTTTTTCTATTTTGGGGGAGATTTTCACAGTTTTATCTCCTTTTCTGTTTTCTTCCTTTTCTGCTCTCATGTTTTCCACATCTAGGCATTTTTTTTTTCTGAATCTGTCCTTATTCATGATTAAAGCATTACTACAAAGGCTGTATAAGCTCTGTATATGTGGCTTGAGTTTATTTTAGTGGCCTCACTTTGGAAGGCTCAGTTCTTTCACTAGAGGAAGCTGAAGTTTCAATACATAATTTGTTTTTCTTTTGGGCCAACTAATTTCCCCAGAGCAGCATCTTCTACTCTCTTCCCTCAGGAAAATAAGCCCACCTGTCAGCATTCATTTCACACACTTGTACTTAATTCCCCTGTTTCTGTTTCCAATAAAGCACCTTGGCTCCACCCTGAACTGGACCAACCTCTCTAGAAGGAAACCGCTCACACAGAACTTCTGAAGGATCTTGAAATGCTAATCCCCAGGCTTCAGTGATGTATATATGAGGCTTCCAGTGCTGGATTCAGATTCTGACACCAGGGACCTGAGTCCTACCTCTTGCCAAGTCCCTAGGCTTGTCCTGGGGATCAAGTGACATAATGTAGCAGAAACACTCTGCACACTTGTGAATAGAAGCACTTCGCAAGTCTTAGGCTTTATTAATAAAAGTGGTGACATTGGGGAAGAATCCAAAACGTTACTGAGGGCTGCTTTCTTTTCCTAGACTGCTCCGCTTGAAAGGAAAAGTTAATTTAAATGAATCATGCAAAGATGTTGACACAACTGAGTTTACTGCAAGCTGCTGGGGTTTCAAACTTTTCCCTAAAACCCTGAAATGCTGGTTAATTTAGTTGTCTCACCGACTGAACGACAAAGCAATCTGGGCATCTCCAGCACCCTTTACAAAGACAGCAGCTCTGGCTCCAAACAAACAAGACTGGTCTTGGTCTTGATGCTTTGTGTGATCAGCTAACCAAGGCAGTTTTATTGGGTAAGAAAATGCATAGATCAGCAAATGAGGCTTGTTGTTTAATCTAAAGCATCCTTAAAGTAAACATCTACAATCTATAATCTAAAGCTTAAAGCCCTGACTTCTGGCTATGGGATACAGCAAGGAAAAACAATGAATACATTTAATAATTATATCATTATTCTTATGTCTAATAAATTACATTTGGACAGAGGAACAGTCACTTTTTAAATTGGTAATTAATGAAACTATGATTAGATTTAAAGGTATTCTTGAACGCTTCAAGCCTTTCATTTTATATTCTTTTTTGTTCAGAACAACACATAAGTTAGAGTTTTAAGTAAAAAAAAAATTAATGATTTCACTCCACAGTTACCTACCTTGGTACAAGTTCAATTATTGATCACAATATATATTACATAACTCAGTTCCCTAAAATAAAAATCTAGATCTTTAAGTAAACTTTACAATCAGCCTTTTCACTTTTTACGGCTCAGGAAGGCCTTGCCTTGCTTTGGCTGTTGGCCAAAGGCTGTTGGTATAAATGCCTCTGGTCCAAAGACTGCCTGGAGGAATGGTAATCTGTTTTCACGTTCAATTGGAAATTTTTTTTTTTGGCACAATTTGGTAGTTAATAATGATGAGATAGATCAGAAAGTCCCTCCTATTATTCTCTGTATCTGTCTTGTGCAGTATGATAGCCAGTAGCCGTGTACGGCTACTGAACACCTGAGACGTGGCTGGTGCCTCCCAGGAACTGAATTTCTAAACGTAAACAGCCACCTGCAGCCCTTGGCAACTGTTTTGGGCAGCAGAGCTGGAAGCTCTGTGTCATCACAAGGGATCCACGCCTCAGAAATTCCTCAAAGGGCTCACTTTCCAACAGGTTGGCCGATGGTCTAAGATTTTTTTGATGCAGTCCCGTTTTATACCCAGAAATATCAAGATCTGTACACAGAAGTGGTTGTACTTTGAGTACATGCTGATTGAGAAAACATACAATACAAAAAGCTAGTAAATAATTTCGCGAGGACATTAAATAAGTTTGAACTTTATCCATGCCAACAGCACGGCCACGCTCCTGAGAGCAGGCAGCCTAGGTATGTGTAAGGTGTACCACTGGTTCCCTGTGTGGACGGGGCTTGCTGCCCGAATGGATGCAAGGAACCCAGGGAGTAGCTCTGCATTCACAGGCTGGAAAGCATTCTTCCAGAACTGAAAGATGAATACGTTAAAGAGCAACTGAAAGATCAAAATAGAAGTATGGGGACACCTCATAAGCAGTTAAGAAGCGCCAAAGGGTGGAGGCTCTCTTTTGGGGCATTTTGTGTGCACCCCGGCATGCGTGACGTCCCTTTTCATCATGGCCCTGTCATTTGGCCTCAGATCTTAAACTCCTACGACTCAGGGATCTTTCCTTCAGGAAAACATAGTTTACTTTATCTTTGGCGCCCCTTTAAAACCCGGAAATTTTAAAACAAGAGCCTCTCGGTGGTGTGCATTACACGTGATGCGCAATGGTCAGGAGTCACGGAACAGTTTGCTCTAAACACTAACACCCTCATTTAGTCACAGATACAAAGGGGTCTCCTTCCCGATGTAGCCCCTCCCCGCCTCCCCCCACCCTGTGGCCACAGGCAGAGGCTGCGGAGTCTTGTGTCGTGGTTGCTGCCCTCCACCCCCGACTGGAACCTGCAAGGTGCGTGGGAACAACGGGCCTGCTACTGTAGCAGGAACCTCAGTCACCGCCCTGAGCCCTCTGGTTCTGCAGGTCTGGGGCATCCCGCTGCCTGGCATGGGGGGATGTTACATAATCATCTTGTCTATAATTAAATACGAACTCACAGCATGGATCTAGAGGAAAACATATTTTGTGATTCTAGGGTGGCTCTACTCCCAAAAGGTATGGATGACAGAAGGAGAAGCGTTCCTTTTACTGCTGAAGCAAATCCTGAGTTACTGAAACAAAGATTAAATGCTGAACAACCTATGTATTATGAGTTAGCTTCAAACAATATGCTTACTACTTCATACGCTCAAACATCGATGTATTCCATAATTCCAGCTCTTAAAATAAGAATTTCCAGTTATTGCTCTAGGTGGCATTAAAAGTGATTCCACGAGTACTAAACCCTGACATTCTAAGCAAATACGTTGTTCCTCAGAACGGCGGCACACATCGGGCAGCAGGCGGTAACTGCAAGGCGGGCACCGATACTGTGTTCTGCTCTATCACTGAACGAGTAATGATCTTTCACCAAGTAATGCATGACACATACTAGGTCATCCCAGGAGCGACGCGACTGCTGACCCCGGCATGGCTCTGCTGCTGCCGTTAGTTAATCCGAACAAAGTGTGGACCACTGGCTGAAAATACATAGTATTTTTTTCTGTTTGGGAGTGGGGAGCACTTGACCAAATCTAAGACTGTACATTAAGTTCCAGCTTCGCTTTTAAAAACAAAACCAAAGAGCAGCTCCCTTAAGCAAGGGCACAGAGGGACGGGCCCACGACCCGGCGCCTGCAGAACAGGTGTTGCCGTCTTCCCGGTACACTGACGTTTACCTGGATGAGGCTGGCGGCTGGGTTCCTTCTTTTCTCAAAGTGCTTCTGGCGGTGCTGTTCTTGTACTTTTAATGCAAAACCTGAGCCAAGAATGCCCTGCAACAAAATACGGAAATAGCGCTGAAAACTTCTTTCCCCCAAACACCATTAAGTAATACAAGTATTTTAAAAAACCCTCTAAGAAGAGTCTGTGAAAAGGCGAACAGTAGGCAACCTGTCCCTAAACTCATTAAAACAAACACGATTTCCTCTACTGTAACACGTCGGCCAATGGCAAGCAGCTGGGCAGGAAGCAGAAGGACGTCTGCCCTTCCGGAAGTCACCAGGCCCCACGGTCTCCCATGGGGTAGGAGGAGTCACCACAATTCCAAATAAAAATCACATTTAAAAAAATGTTTTTGCGTGGCCTTCTCTGTGGCATTTCTTTACGCCTAAGTCAGAGAGAGTGTTCCTATCCAGTGGCGGACAGAGGGGGATTAGAACTTGGGGCTGTTACTGTCTCGTGGATGTGGACATGGGAGCTTTCCTAGCACTTTGACGACACTACCTGATTTTATACTTTCCATTCACGAAACGGTGGGGGAGGGAGTGCTTAAGGTTAATCCTCAGCGATGCTATAATTCTACACCTACCAAAGGAAAGTAACAGTGGGGGAGGACAGTTGTCCAGATGAGACACACACTCAGTTTTGGAAACGTCGAAGGTTTGCCGTTTTGCGTGTCTGTCCAGTAAAGACAAGAGCACAGGTCGATGCAAAGCACCTTCCTGTCTACCTGAGTCTTAACGGCACACTCTGAGCCTGGCTTGCCTTCCTGGCTCTGGCTCACCTGTCAGATCTGGGGGTTGGTAGATGAGCAGTCCCTTCTGGGTTTATGCTAGCTTTTGCTGGTTTGCTTCCTTCTGCTGTCTCCATCTGCCAAAATTCCGGCTCTCTGATATGGCTGGCCCCTCTTTTCAGTTTGCTTTGGTCTAAATTTGTGGAATCAAGATGCTTCGTCTCACCCTTGAGTTGAGGCTGGCTTTGGAGTTTGCTCAGTTCAGTCTCTGGGCTTTGTCTCTAAGCCTCCACTTTATTGGTGTGGGACGCGGAGCCCCTCTGCTTTCAAGTCTGGGATTTTAGTTGCTAGCTATAAATTATTAGCTTCTTATTAAACTTCAAGGAGTCTAACCCTTAGGCTACATACAGCCGGGCATTTTATAAGCTCTAAGTCAGTATTTGCCACAGGTAAGGACCGCCTATTTTCCTTTTCTTCACATGTTTGAAGTCACTCAAAGATAGTACAGGCTGCTCAAGGGGGTGATGGGTCTAGTCCTTGGGAGGTGTTAGGTCTCAGTGGATGAAAACTTGGCGAGGACATTTTGGGGCTCTAGGTAACCTTTAACCTTCCTTCTCATCCTGAGATTCCACAATTCTGAGTACCTCTGTGACAATGACCAGGTAATAAATAACACAATTCTGTTTAAAATGCAGTTACACGACGACAGTCTTGTTATTAGTGAGCAGTGACCGACTCCCCCATCGGTCAGGATGAGGGGCTGCGCCGTGAGATGAGGGATGGCGTCTGAGGTCTGTTCCATCTCACTCCCTTAGTGACTGTGCTGTGCAGCCTGAGGTCCTCACCTCATCCAGGCTGTGACTGAACATACCAAGCTCTACGAAAACCTGGTCTGTAGGATCTTATGTGTAGATTTAGACAACATCTCCCTCCATTCAGAGGTTATAAAAATGGCCTTCTGTTTGCAAATCCAAATCAACTCTTAGTTACATATAACTCCTAAATTTCTTGCTGCTCCTTAAGAGCATTAAGGAAAAGTTTAAGTATTTTCCTTTTAATGTCATTTTTCATGAAGTTTAAACATGCAAGAGACTATGAAACAGCAGAATTTATAGCATATATTTATATTATGTATATTATGTATTCATATTATATGCATAGATGTGTATAATCCACTCATAGGAAGCATAATTTAGATTTTGTAGGCATTGAATTAGCAGCAATAGTTACCATTTTTGAGCATTCATTATGTAAACGTGAAGTTCACAGTTAGATCCCTTTTGGAAAATGAAGACAGGCCAGGCCCTACATAGCACAAACTTAGCACCTGCCAAACATATTAAATGTGGTGAAAATCACGTTGGCAGTGCTTAGAAACATTCGCTAGTAGATGGCAAATGTCGGCTGCATGTCTCCTGAGCCAGACTGTCCATTACAGCAGTCACTGCACTAGCTCTGCTCGTCGTCTTCTTACGGCTGCTGTCCAAGCCTGCCCCACCTCCCTCCGTCCCCAGCTCAGAAACAGAAACACAAGGCTGGTAAAATAAAGCCTGTTATGTTACATATAAATATATCCTGTAAGTTATGTAAGTATATACATGTAAATATAACTTATGTGCTATTCCTTCCAGTATCCATACCGATAGATACAAAGTCTCAGAAATTGATTTTTGTCTTAATTCATTTCCTAAGATCAGATAACAAATTTTGAGGTTTTAAGTTTTAGAAGTGCTACATAAACACCAAATAAAAAGGAAACACGTATTGGTCAGTATTTAAAATATTTATCCCTTGTTTAATTATAGTTAAAATATGCTCCCTTCCAGATTTGAAGAGCCTATCTGTACCCCCCACTCCTGCACTTGGCAAACAGTCTAGACAGAAAGATCCTCTCAGCAGGAGGTAAGGGGCTTCCGCAGGTGGAGAAAGGCCTGCCCTGCAGGGCGAGGTTGGGCAGGGGTCTCAGGGAAGGGGACCCCTGGTGGAGTTGCTGGTCTGTGTGACTCTGTGATGTGTGCGAGAGTCCTTCTGCCTTGAGGAAAAGATGGGGAAAGGAGCTTCTCTTTCTTGGTCCTCTGTTTCCTGGGTAGAAGGACCTCAAACAGGGATGGGCCACAATCCACCTCTGACTTTTCTTAGCAAAATGCCAACGTGTTCTCCTAATTTCAATCCGACACCCCTGCCAGCCCGCGGGTGCACAAGACATAACGGCATTTCCAGCCACCTTGTTTTATTTAAAAGTGTGCGGGAGCCACTGAGTCTTTCATTCAAGTAAGAACTCAGTACCTAACGTGAGGCTGCAGTAAAAAGATCCATGGTGAAGTCTACTTTGCTTGGCACTGTTAGGGCGTGTTCTATGCAAGCAAGATGTTCAGATCTCCAACATGTATTAATTTAATTTGCATATAAAATTGTAATCACTTTATTGGGAAACCTTTACAAGAATGGCCACTTAGTCTCTGACCCTTAACCTAAGAGCCACACAGCTGAACCTCCTGTGATGGTCCATGGTCTCAGGATGGAGTCAGGGGGTCTCGCTGAGGTGGGCTGACCTTCAGGCCAAGTGGCCCAGGTCTTTTCACCTTTGAACACTTATGTCTGCTCACTTCTTACCCTTTTCTTTTCCCTCCCTTGCTGTTACCTCTTCCTGGTCTAATGTGTGTTCTATCACCGTACTTCTACATTGCTGTCTATAATCCTCAGAGGTGTGAAAGCACAGACCTCACTTTACCAGACTTTTCTCTAAATTAAGCACAGGTTATGAACGAGCCTCGAGGCTGTCCTGGGAGGACGGCACATACACGGGTGCCCATGGGAACAGCCCAGAGCGGGGAACAGCGCAGAGGGGGCCTCCTTCCCTGCCTGTAGTTCTTCGAGGGATCACACAGGTTGTTATACGTGTGGCCTCAGGATAAGTATAAACACAACAGAGGCAGATCTTTTGTGCCATTATTTTGGGAAAAGAGCACAAGACTACGTTTTACTGTTTCTAAAGGTATTCTCCTGTAGGGAATCTGGTTATTGAGTTGGTCTCTGCCCACTGAATTGCTGGGCAGAGAACTGAATTCTGGTCTGAATTGCTGAGGTTGCCAGATTCAGCAGACTCTGGATAAGTGAGACGCTTTTTGGACTCTGCTTCATTTTGTCACAGCAGGAAACAAACACATCATGAAAATTTTCTTTGTGACAAGCACCTGACTTACGTCATTGGTCTTAACAGATTTTCTCTGGGTGTGATAATTTTTCCTACCTGATATTGATAAAGAAATGTACTCAGGGTTTCTCTTACAGGCTGACTTGTGTCCAAAATTCATAGGCTGTAGTCCTAATCACCAGGACCTCAGATGTAACCTTATTTGGAGAAAAGGTCTTTACGAAGGTAATCAAGTTACAGTGAGCTCATTAGAGTGGGCCCTAACCTAGTATGTCTGGTGTCCTTTTTATAAAATTAATTAATTAATTAATTTGTTTATTTTTGGCTGCGTTGGGTCCTCCTTGCTGCACGTGGGCTTTCTCTAGTTGCAGTGACGGGGGGCTACTCTTCCTCGCGGTGCGCAGGCTTCTCATTGCGGTGGCTTCTCTTGTTGCGGAGCACGGGCTCTAGGCTTCAGTGGTTGTGCACGTGGGCTCAGTAGTTGCGGCGCACGGGCTTAGCTGCCTCGCGGCATGTGGGATCTTCCCGGACCAGGGCTCGAACCTGTGTTCCCTGCACTGGCAGGCGGATTCTTAACTCCTGAGCCACCAGGGGAGCCCCCCTGGTGTCCTTTTAAGAGGAAACCTGGACACAGACATGGGCAGAGGGAAGACGATGTGAAGACACAGTGCTCAGACGGCCGTCTACGAGCCCTGGAAGAGGCCGGGCCACATCCTCCCTTGCAGCCCTCAGGAAGAACCGGCCCTGCCAGCTCCGTGATCCTGGACTTTCAGCCTCCAGAACTACGAGACAATAAAGTTCTGTTGTTTAAGTCAAGCCAACCAGTCCGTGATGCCTTGTTACAGCAGCCCTAGCAAACCAACACATTCACACGTGGGCAGCACATGACAAACCCGGATTCAAAGTGGGGTCTGATGCCCGTGCTCTCGCGTGGTCTCTTGGGACCCTTCTCTGACCTTGCATGGTCCGGGGTGCAACCAGCTGGTCAGTCTGGAGCTGAGCTCTGGCCACGGGAAGGACAAGGGGTCCCAGGCAGAGGCGGAGCCCCGGCAGCTACAGGCTGTGGTGCTGAAGGCCCCACCCCCTTGGCTCCTGGGAGGGCTGCCCTGGGGCCTCTGCAGCAGAGGCTGTGACGTGAGCCAGCCTGTGTCTGGGGCAAGACCGAGGCTGCTGTTCCCTAAGCGGGACGGCGGCCACGGCTCTCACAGTCCTGCTTGTTGGCTCCTCTCCAACAAGGGGAAGCCAAAAGCGAGCTCTTGGGGAGGGGGGCAAGTGGTAGTACTCTGACCAAGTGCCTTTGAAGACACAAGAGGATAAAACAATCAGAAAGGAAGGCTTCATCCAGTATGGAGAAAATACTCAGAAGCTTAAGAGAAGGGAAGTGTGTTCTTCATTCTGATAGGAAACTGGTTGTTAGCAAAAATCAATGATGACACAAGGAATAAATCATCTGACACATTAATAAAAACCCTTTAAATCTGTACGCTTTTCACTCAAGTGGACCTGAGAGGTAGCTACTCCACGTGGGCACATGCATCTCTTCAGGAGTGCACACCTTATGCACCTAATGGGAGCCATCAGTTTAAGAGGAGGATATCTTTAAATCTTTACACATACTTTCAATGTATTAGTAACCTGTTGACTGAGAGGTGGTGTTGCCTGAATTATCATTTGGTCCTAAAGCCTCAGCTGGTATAAGACTCTCGGGTTAAGCGACTCCGAGGGAAGACCGTATTTTGTAAATTATCCAACTAGATACATATAGAAAAGTCAACATTACATCAGAAAAATGGTATTAGTGAACGATAGAGCTGTGTTCTAGGGCATACCGTTTTGTGAAAGCTCGTGCTAATAAACCCCCAAGATCCAACTGAAAGTGCTTAAGTTTTGCAAAGATACTCACAGCAGGAAGTGCAAAGAAAGAAATGCCCAGGAGTGCAAAGCCCGCAGAGAGCAGCCTTCCCAGCCAGGTCAGGGGGGTTTTGTCTCCATAGCCGATTGTGGTCAGTGTTATCTAAAAACAAAATAAATAGGACGTGCAGCTTAAGTACTTGAGAGGAAAGTCAGGACCCATGAACAGGGGGCAAAGCAACCTTTCCACTGAATCATCATTCAACCAGTCTGGTTGGTGCATTTTATTACTGTGCTTTAATTTTCCATGACGCATAACAGAACTTCTCGTTGTTTAAGGAAGGGAATAGCCTACATACTTGTTCCTCCCTTATAACACAGTTTTCCATCTTTTCTAAGTGCATTCAAAGAAAGGCTATATTATATAGTAAGTGGATAACCATCAATGATACAGAAACAACAGCACTATGGATTTAGGACTGGATCAGTACACAAAACAATAGTTTATGTTAATTCAGGCTGTCCATTTATTTCTTTGGCGGGCATTTCCTGAAGGTCTGGTGTGTGCAAGGTATGTGTTTTGATTAGTAGTGGAACAAAAATGAGAGGTACATAGTTCCTGTCCTGAGATATTTATGGCATAAGAGGGGAGATATGTCCCACAAATCATTAAAACGCAAAATAGGGCAAGACAGGTATTATGATGAATGCACAAAATAATCTGCTGCTCAAATTCAAAGAAGAGATTATTACCAGCTTGGGGTGTTGAAGCAGCTTTGTTGGGAAGATGTCATCATACCCAGGCTTTGAAGGAGGGGTAATATTTTGAGAGGCAGAAATGATAGAGTGATCTAGGGAGGGGAAACAGGTGACCAGCTGCACAGCAGTGAAATAAACAGGGTGGGTTCTGGAACGTGTGTTCAGTTGGGCCGGAGCACGGTGGGTCTGAAGAGGAGGCTAACCAGCTACGCTGAAGCTGGACCAGGGAGTGTCTTTGAAAAATGATCCCTGAGTCGTGTCTCCCCGATGGTCAAGTGCTCCAGGGGCTGCCCATGTGCCTTAGAACAAAGCCCTGGCTCCGCTCCAGGACCGATGAGGTTCTGCCTGATCTGGTAGAATGATGGGGCAGCTGAATCGCAACAGCGGGAGTGGGGCAGTACAGGGTGGAGAGTAAAGAGATGAGCTGAGGAAGTTCAATAGAAGCGTGTCTGAGAGGAAGGGGAAGATGAAATCTACATGACTGGAAAGTTTCAGCTGGGAAGATGATTGCCCCATAAATAGAAATATGATAATGAGAAAGAGGAGGGTTTGGAGCAAAGAAGAAGAGTGGCTTTCAAATGAGAGTTTTTAAACTATCAGTATGACGCTGATCTAGAAATGTCTGAGCAACGAATTAAGAAGGAGAGCTTGAGTCTTGAGAGAGATTGAGGTTGGCATGAAATCTGGGTTTTGGAATAGGACGCCAAGTGACTCTTTAAGCTCTGTGAAGAAATGAGGTTGCAAAGGGTGCAAAGGGGGGGCCAAGGGCACCTCCTCAGGAGACACAGACATGTAAGGGATGGAGGGGAAAGGAAAGTCAGAGGAGAATACAGACTTTCAAAAGTAGGAGGACTGGGAATGGGTTATAGAAACAGAAACTCAATGAAGAGAGTTTCACAGAGGACCAGGTGAGCCCTGATGCCACAGGCTCAGGGAGAACAAGGAGAATGAGGACTGAGAAAAGATGTGGACACAGAGACAGGGGTCACTGGTGATTTCTAACAGCAGCGGTTTGGGGCAGGCTGTCCTCCCCGGGCTCTGAAGGAGGGCCAATAAGTTGAGAGGTAGAAACGGTGGAAGAAGAGGCGCTCTGTGATGGAGACCCTCCGGAAGCGCTCGACTCAGCTGGCCACTGCTCCCTAGACCCTCTCCTCTCTCCTCGCTTCTGTGCTTCTCCTTTTACATCTTTAGCGGCTCCTTTTATGTGGCTCCTCCTACCCCAGCCCACCTCCAAATACTGGATTCTTAAGCGTTGCTTCTGGGTCTTTTTCTCTTTTAAAAATTCAGTTCTATTCGAGACTTCCCTGGTGGCGCAGTGGTTGAGAATCCGCCTGCCGATGCAGGGGACACGGGTTCGAGCCCTGGTCCGGGAAGGTCCCACCTGCTGTGGAGCAACTAAGCCTGTGTGCCGCAACTACTGAGCCTGCGCTCTAGAGCCTGCGAGCCACAACTACTGAGCCCGCGAGCCACAACTACTGACCCCGTGTGCCACAACTACTGAAGCCTGTGTGCCGCGAGTACTGCAGCCCGTGCACCTACAGCCCATGCTCCGCAACGAGAAGCCACTGCAATGAGAAGCCTGCGCACCGCAATGAAGACCCAACGCAGCCAAAAATAAGTAAATGAAATAACTATATAAAAAAATTAAAATTCTATTCTTCTGTAACTTTCCTTTCCCTCTCTCCCCTCCTTTCTCTCTCTTCCCCAGCGACGTGAAACACTCTCATGGGTATAAATACCATTTTTATGCTGAACACACTGAGTTTCTACCTCCAGGCCAGACCACTCTTCTGAGCTCTGGATTCACACATCTGCAGCGGGTATTCTGTTGGGATGCTGCACAGTCATTTAAATTGAACATGTCTAGGGACTTCCCTGGTGGTCCAGCGGTTAAGACTCCACGCTTCTGCTGCAGGGGGCGCGGGTTGGATCCCTGGTCGGGGAACTAGGATCTCGCATGCTGCGTGGCCAAAAAAATAAATAAAGTAAAATAAAATAAAAGCAGGTGTTGTGAATTAAAGGATGTGAAACAAATAAAAAAATAAACTGAACATGTTTAAAACGGAAATTGTATCATCCTAAACAAGCCGCTCCCCCGATGACACCCCCTCCTGGTCGACAGCCCCACTGACCACCGTGCTGCTCAATCAGAAGCCTTGGGGCACTGCTGCCTCTCCCTCCCCACAGGTGTCTCTCTGAATACCTCAGCAGGTTCCGCTGCTTTGATCTCCCCAATCCCACTGCCTTCTCTCTGTCATCACGGCCACCACTGAAGACGGGGCTGCTAGAGCAGCCTCTTTTTTTTCTTAGACGATAATTATTCCAGTTTTATTAAGGAATGGTTGACATACATCACTGTTTAAGGTGTACGGCATGACGGTGTGATTGACACGTACTGTGAAATGACGACCACAGCAGGGTTGGTGAACATCCATTATCTCATAGAGATGCAGAGAAAGAAAAGAGTGATGAGAACTTTTAGGCTTTACTCTCTGAGCTTTCCTGTATATCACATGGGAATGTCAACTACAGTCACCATGTGGTACTAACATCCCTGGTACTAGTTTACCTTATAACTGGAAGTTGGTGCCTTTTGACCACCTTCCTCCACTCCCCGCCCCTCTCGTAACCACAAATACCATCTCTTTCCGTGGTTTTTTTTGGTAAGCTTCCACATATAAGTGAGATCACACAGTGTCTGTCTTTGTCTGCCTTGTTTCACTTAGCACTCAAGGTCCATGCACGTGGTCGCGGATGACAGGGTTTCCTCGTTTTCGTGGCTAAGTAGCACCGTCGTGTATACACCACACCTGCCTGCACACTCGTCACCGTGCACCCTGAGGCTGCCCCTGTCCTGGCTCATGTGCATCACGAGCCACCGTCTCTCAGTTGCTCTTTCTACTTTTGCTCTGGCCTCTCTCAGTTCCTTCTCTGCACACCTGCAAGGGCTGTTATTTTCTTCCTCCTATCTAAAAACCCTGCAATGCCTATTCACCAAATTCAGAATAAATTCTAAGCTCCTAGCTACGGACCTCGTGACCTGGTCTCTGCCCAAGTCTCCAAGGTCCCCCTGGTCCCCCCCTGCTCACTGCACTTTAACTACAGTGTCCTTTCAGCTCCTCCGATGGGCCAGGCTATCCTGCCTCAGGGCCTTTGCACACTCTGCTCCCTCAGCCCCCAGTCTTTCCGGGGCTCCTTCTCATCCTTCAGGTGTTATCCAAAACACTCTGTCCTCAGAGAGGCCTCCCCTGGCCACTGTCCACAGGCGGCCTCTGGTCTCTCTCTGTCCTCCTTGTTTCCTGTCAGCACGTATCATGAGGGGTAGTGTACTGCTGCTCTACTTTCCTCTGGGGAGGGGTCCTTATTTCCTCTACTAGAAGGAGGGACCGTGCCTTTCCTCTTTGTTGTCTCTCTAACATCCAACATGATGTTTGCCTCCAGAGTAAGAGGAACTCAATAAATATTTAGTAAATAAATAAAGAATTCTTTCCAGAACATTGGCGACAGAGTGAGAAACATGGGGCCGGAACTCCTGGAAATCTCTGATGTGAGTGGGTGCTTTCTAGGATGTGCTTGTGCCTGTCTGCAGAGAGGCCGAGGCTGAGGAGGGGAGGGTGGCAGCTTTATGATGGGGGGGTACCCGAGGAGGAGGGACATAGGGTGAAGGACACGTTGGAGGGTTGGCCTTGGCCGTGTGAGAGGAAGGCAGGGCTGGAAAGCTCAGGCTAGTTCCCGTCAACAGTGAAGGACAAAGGAGGGTCACCTGTGCGGAGCAAAGGGCCTGGAACAGGAAAGGCCCAGGCTGTGAGGCTGTGAGAGGGAACTGGCAGTAGAACCCAGCAGCCAAGTGAATCAGATGCCACCAGCAGTATGGGTAGAGGATTCTCAAAGGAATTCCTTGAGATTGCAGAAACAGCATTCCTGGCTCCATTTTATTACAGGTTCCTAATTTTAAATACGTGGGAAAGATTTTAATCTATTATACCTGTTCTGCTTAATCTTAATTAAGATTAATCTTAATCTTAATTAAGATAGCTTAATCCTTTCCAGTAGTTTATGAATAATAATAAAGGGAAGGAGAAATGTCATGGTTTGGTCACAGCAATAACTTTGCACTTCTCCGTCTGCTTTCCATTCCGATCACACATCTGAGCTGTTCTCCTTGTGGCTCAGTGCTCAGAGTGGTTTTTTTTTTTTTTTTTTTTGCGGTACGTGGGCCTCTCACTGTTGTGGTCTCTCCCGTTGCGGAGCACAGGCTCCGGACGCGCAGGGTCAGCGGCCATGGCTCACAGGCCCAGCCGCTCCTCAGCATGTAGGATCTTCCTGGACCGGGGCATGAACCCGTGTCCCCTGCATCGGCAGGCGGACTCTCAACCACTGCGCCACCAGGGAAGCCCAGTCTTA